AGAGCAGGCCTCAACAACGGGTTTCACTCACCAGGTTTGCCCTCCACACCGCCCAGGATCGCCAGGCGCGCCGACATCAACCCGAGCCCCAGGTAGCTGTGGAGTAACATCTGGGTGAGGGTTGCCCCCGACCTGGACCCAACATGGGCAGAAGACAAGGGCTTGGGCTAAGGCAGTTGGTGGACCACTCTGCTTCTTCTTGAAGCCTCCTTGCCTCCTTGCAGGGTTCAGGGCCCTGGGCAAGAGCCCAACGTGAGGGCCAGTGATGTGGCCTGGGCTCATCTAGGAGCTGTGGGGTGCTGGTGGGTGGCACAGGCTCAACCCCAACTGTCACGGCGTGCTTGTGCTTTACAAAAACATCTACCAAGGTGCCACGTGGCAAACAGGTGGGCTGGAAAATTCCTGCAGCGTCGGTGGGTTCCTCCCTCTCCTTCTCAAACCTCCTCCAAGCAGAATAGAGTAAGCATAGGGGAGGAAATGTGATTTTACTGTACAGAAATTTTAAAGTGAAAGAGGAGAAAGGAGGAGCAGGGAAAGGCTCCAGGTAGGTTCTCAGCTGGGAGATACTGGGATAGGCATCAGTGACTGGGACCTGGTCACCCAGGAGGCAGGGTGCAGAGCTCAAGGGCAGCACAGACCAGCTGAGCTGCGTGCCTGCGGCCCCTCTTCACCCTCGCCCCCAGCCACACACCCTTAGACCAACCTGTAGGAGTAGAGCCTGTAGGTCCTGTTAAACACCTGGAGAGCGGTCAGGTAGCCGGGAGGGGAGGTCTGCAGGGTGCCCTGGGGAAGAGTGGGTGGGCCCATGTTTTCCTAACGTGTTTTTAGAAAACTGCCCCCCCCATCCCATGCCTTCAATTCATTAGGAAAAAACAGGGATAATCAGATGGGGTCGATGAAGGGAGCTTCTCCTTCAGTTCTGTACTGTCAAAGAACGCAGAACAAGCAAGGAAAAACCCAACATCCAGGAAGAACTACCTTTTCCTCAAATGAGAACCAATTTACCCATTTCAACAAACACACCCAAGATAGTCACATCAGGAGATTGACCTGCTCCATTTTACATCCCCGTCCCACTGCAAACTAACAGCAAGAGGCCAGAATGTGGGCAGACAGGAGGAGCTGCTCCCACAGCAGTGGGTGGTCTGAATCAGGAGTGCTTTATCTCCTTTAGAACACCCATCTTGAAACTCAGTGTGGTAAAAGGGCTCTTTTCTCTTCTTAATGAGCTATTGTTACATACAGTTTTACCTATTTCTAACTGGATCAGTACTTGATATCTACAGATTTTTTCAAATTATTTTTTAAGAGAATTATTTTATTTAACTTTCTTTATTTACTTATTTTAATTTGACCAGAGAGGGATAGAGTGAGATAGTGAGGGAAAGTGAGAAAGCAAGCCACCAGGTCCAGGACTCGAACCGCGATTGGCCATGTGGGAGTCTAGTGGTCCTCAACCACCACACCCACTGCTGGCCCAGAATTTTTCAGATTATAAACTCTTATCTCCCACAGTCCTCTACATTGAGATGTAAATTCTTTAAAGAATTTAAAGGCTGCCACAGACAATCAGCGCAAGCTTGCAGAGTAACCTTGGGGCAGGTTCTGAATGTTCACGACATAATGTCCATTGTTAAAGAAGGTGAAAATGTCTGTGTCCTCTGTTTATTACATACCATAAACGTGCTCTTAAGGATCATTCTATAACTTACAAAAATGCATAAGGATTATATGTAAATCATAAATAATAAATATTTAAAGAGAAAAGAAGTTGCCTGAAATCATAAATAAATGTCCAACAAAAAAATTGAGGGGAAAAAAAGGACATTCATCTTGAGGGCTGGCCTTGTAACCTAGTGGTTAAGGGAGCCAGATCCCACAGCTCACCATGGTTCGAATCTTGGCTTGACCAACAGACCAGGCGTGTGTGCGCATGTGCCCCAAATCCTGATAGGAAAAGGAATATGGGGAATGGGAGAACAGATGAAGAAACGGAGGAGGGACTGCGGTATAATCACCACACCCCATGGGGGGTGCCCTTTCCCCTCTGAGCACATGTACCCTCTGGCAAATTAAAAGAAAAAAGGGGCCAGCAGATGGCATAATGGTTACATCACTGGACTCTCAGTCATCAACCGTGGTTTGAGTCCCGGACCTGGTGGCTTAAAACTCACGCTGGGTGCGTGTGGGTGCATGCCCAAAATCCTGAGAGGAGAATGAAGAAGGGATTGGGACATGGCCTTTCTCGGGGGGTGATTTCTTTCTGTCTCTCTGGAGAGTGCAAGCAGCCTAGAGCAAAAACCTCTTCTTGGGACCAGCAGTTAGCGTAATGGCTATGTCACTGGACTCCCATGTAGTCGACTACAGTTCGAGTCCTGGACCCGGCAGCTTAAACTCACGCTGGGCGCATGTGCATGCGTGCCCAAGATCCCACGAGGAGAATGGAGAAGGGATTGTGGCGTGGCCATCCCCCCTGGGGGATGATTTCTCGCATTCTCTCTGTCTTTCTTGCGAGCGCACGCGCCCTATAGCAAAAACCTCTCCAAAAAAAGAAAAAAAAAACCACCTCTTCTTAAAAACACAAAACTACATTTCTTTGCAAAG